GGTTGCGGGAAAGACGGCACATACTTTCCACAAATACATTTTCGAAAAAGGAAATCCTTGTGGGCTTTATTTTTCATTTTCACTCTTTTTTCTTCTGCTGCTTCTTCCTCCCAATTTTGTTTCTTTACTGAAGTGCTGTTTTAGTAAAACACTGTTTTGTTTTCTCACAAAAATTGGAGAATTTTAAAGTGATTTTTTTTCTGTAAAGTATGATACTGAGTTTGAAGTATCTGTTTCGGTTAAAAATATGCAATGAAATCGTAGCCTGAACTGGAACTTCTCCCAACATACCCCTTTGGTTTAGATTTGTATTTTTGTCTGTGGGTTATTCGGGTATTATAATCTCGCACTCTCATTAAAGATTTCTACCTGTTACCTTCCCTAGCCTTTAGGTATGTACAGACGTAGCTGGAGATCTTTGTCTCTCAGATCTTTTTGAGGAAAAATGGCAAAGCACCTTTCAGCAGTGCGCCGTGAACCGCACTTCATTAGCTTCCCGTACGCCTGCCGTGAGAGCAGAAGAGGAACTTGCCATATTATAGGATGGAAAAATAGTGCTGAGTCGCACGTTGGCTTTCATGTTTCCAATTTATGTTTTCTGATTTACCTTCGGTGACAATTTGAAACTCCTGAAAGGCAAAAGGCTAAAAAGTGAAAGCAAGCTTCAGGCTTACCCTTATTGTCGTGTCTCTTTCAGGTATTTAAGTGTGTACTTGTGTTTAGCAGTATTAGTTGACTTTCAGACAACGATACATCAGAAAGTATTAATATTCACAATTAATATACTGATATATAGTTTTATTCTGTCATTCCTCATTTTCTTTCTGTCACTTTCCTATTACGCTGCTCCGACACTTTCCCGGCAATGCTGAAGACCAATGCCTTTGGAGGAAGCCCCATCACCACTCACTGATAGCAGGACGCGGTACAGCAACGATCGGCTTCCCTTCTGTCGGTGGGGATGCTAGTACAGCATCCCTCTGCAGGGGGGAATTTCTTTGTAGGATTAATTTACAAGCAGAAAATTTAATGGGCTGCAAGGTTCGATCACGAAGGCTTTTTTTTGTGCTGAAGCAGCTTGTCATTTTAGTTCTAACTACAGGAGACAGGACAACATTGTTAAGACAATCCAATTATATTAGCTATTGAACAGGGGATTTCTGTCCACCTTTTCCAAGTGAAAGAAAGTAGCAATAGCTGCACTAGCCTGTAAAATTTTCGAAATTGCAACCCCCCCCTAACATGACCTTTGTTGGGGGGGTTTGAGAAGTCTGGGTATTCTGCCACCGTCCAGCTACAGTTCAGCGCTTCTGACAATCCACTCCCTGCTCTGCAGTTTCCCCCTGTAAGGGCTATCTTTGCTGAAATTAGCACGGTGAACCCCGTAGTCCCTCTTTTTGATTTAGCCTGTAAAATTTTCCAAATTGCAACCCCCCCCTAACATGACCTTTGTTGGGGGGGTTTGAGAAGTCTGGGTATTCTGCCACCGTCCAGCTACAGTTCAGCGCTTCTGACAATCCACTCCCTGCTCTGCAGTTTCCCCCTGTAAGGGCTATCTTTGCTGAAATTAGCACGGTGAACCCCGTAGTCCCTCTTTTTGATCCATTTTAAAATGAGACAGAAATCAAGCAGGTGAACTCTGAATTTCCGACTTGATTTTATCTTTGCACCAGAGCATTTCAAAGAGTCTGTCATTGCCCAAAGGAGAGAGAAAGCCAGTCACAACAACTAGCTGGTATTTATTTATTTACAGTTTAGCAAGGGAGAGGTGGTACAAGCATAGGAAAGCGTTTCAGGTGCCTGGAGAGCAAGGGCATCCTCAGTTACAAGGTTCAGCCTCTCTTCTGAGTATTCACACCCCCACCACCCCCATTAGCATGGGTGAATGGCGACAGCAATTTCTGTGGTCTCTTCATTTACGTGGGGAAATAATTAATTCCCAGCTTTTGACAAATGTAACGAAACTGGGATAGTTGCTCAACTAATCAAGCTAATGGGCAGGACCTTTGGTATTATTTGGGTCCCGCTTTTGCCAGCATACAGCTTGCACCTCTCCTCTTTCCTAGGCTGCAAACTGCCAGCACTGCTTCCAGAGCTGCATAGGACACAAAGACCCTGCTCTCAGCCTCCAGTTGAGATGTCTTTTGTCATTTCTTTTGTTTTCTGAAGTTCTGACAAAAGTACGTCCCTGCTCACTCTGTTCCTTCCCACCTGCCCGGTGCTCGGAAGACTATATGCAACACGGACGGCACACGGGCTCCTCATGGGTCAGACCAGGTACCTGCAGGTACCTAACTACCACGCAGGTAGTTAGCATCACCAGGACCTGGGGAGCACCATCGGCAGCCTGCAGCCCCTCGGGCTGGCTGCCCGTCGGCCACCCGCCGGGGAGGGGACGGTCACCCTGAGCACCTCGGGGTCCCTCACCAACGGCACCATAACCACGGCAGAAGAATTTGTCTCAGGAAGTAAAGCAAGCAGCCAAATATGCGGCCATGTTTTAGCAGTCCCTTAATCTCAAATATTTCAAGTAATTTTTGTACTTTCTTCACAACTGAAATAAAATACAGAAGTTAGTTGTATTTCTTTGGAGCTCTCTTGTTATTTTCCCAGTATGAGAGCCACACACCCTGCTGTCAGGCCCTCAGGTATTCACATACTCTTTTTAACTTACAAAAACAATTTCTAATAAGTAGCTTATATCAACTCCTCCATACTTACCTAATTTAAAACACACCTTCTGAGAAAAAACACAAACTCCAAACCGCGGCAGGATGTTACATGCTGCCTACAAAGCAGTGTGCACGCTCCATTTTCACCTGCTGCAGCTACTGTTGTCTAATTCCCGTTGGCATGGGGGCTAGTTGGCTGGGAGCTGCAGCTGATTGCAAAGTCAGGAGGAGGAGGAGGAATCAGTGCAAATCTTAGGACCTGCCTGGAAATGAAAGATTTTTGATTCAGTGCAAAACAACTCCTTGTTTCTTGGGGCAGGCTGACCTGCACAGTTTTGTTTTCTCAAGGGAAATCCAAAAGCTTCCCAGCAGAATTTTTGGGAGAAGGGATCAGAAATCAAAAATTTCCAAGCAAAAACCTGAGCATGCATTTGGGCAGCTGAAGATCGAGGCATCCTTAAGGATTTTTTCTGTATGGTAAGCCACCTTGTTAATTCACAGCTTTCATTCCTAGCAAAAGCTGCAGTGGTAAATGAAAGTTAGTCCACCTTACAGTTACAAAAGCACATGGGCTTATAACATCCTGCAAAATAAGGCTGTGACTAGATGGAACAAACATGGCTCTTTTATACAGCACCGCTAAAAGAAGATGTTGCTTAATTCCTGAATTCCTTGAAGCATTCCTGACAGCAATCACATCTGCTGCCATAAAACCCATCACGGCCTCTGCCTTTGGGAGAAACGTATTTAATAATCAGTAAAGTTCAAGCTCAGCTTGTTGTGATGAATTATTAGAACCCGTCATCATTTTCTTGCAAAAAAAAAAAAGGGCTATAATGGAACACAATTTTATGTTTTTCCATTTAATTGATGACGGGCTGAGTTTTTATTAATCTTTCTGGGCTCCAGTGTAAGATGCTGAAAAAGCTAATATGAGATCATTGTATCTGGTTAATGTGTGTGCTTTGCAAAATTGATAAGGCCTGTCAAGACATAAATTATTTAAAATTTGATAAATGTGTTGAAATCATTGAATTTTCAAACAGACAAAGCAGAGCTATTTCTTTTCCCCCCACCCCCTTCAAATGGAGGTTTTTGTACAGCCGCTCAATGATGCTGCGTTATCCTTGCAGCGCACGGCTTGTAAGGTACTGAAATTAGCACGAGGAAGCCAGAGAAATATCCTATGCTGCTGCAGTGGCGACACGAATATAAACCCACGAGATAACAGCCTCAGGGATGGAAGCAGCAGAGAGTGCGGAGGCCACTGGAAGCCTCCCAGTATGAGTTTTTCACTGGTGGAACTGGGGGCGGGAGGAGGTTACCGAGTACCACCTCCCTCCTACCACCCCTTCCTCTCCCTCAGTGGGATGAAAAGCTCACAGCAGCACCAGCGAGCAGCCGAATGGTGCTTCAGAGCTGTTTATCCCAACAGACCTGTTTATTTCAGCTAATTGCCGAGAGTTTTTAAATGATTCCTGGCAGAGGTGAAGCTATAGAAATGATTGCTGGTGATTGATGAATAACCTGGATAAAATTCCCAAAGCATCAAAACGATTAACTCTTGCACGGGTACACCTGCTTGTGTTTAGTGCCTTGCCCACAGAGAAAGGTGTGGGAGCAAGTTCAAGATGAGCCCAAATTTATTTGGGCAAATAGAGAAAACACAGCATTTACTGATACCAGTGTCTCGTTAGCGCAGGCTCGCTTCTCAAAAATAATTCACAGGGCATGTTCTTTAACCCTGTGCTGCTCTACCATGGTCAGGATCATTCATGGAAGAGAAAGGTTTTGAAGAGCAATCACAATCTTTCAGAGAAGCGCATGGGAAGAACCAATGGTTTGAAGTTTAAAACTACATAAATATAAACCCCATCATACGTTGGTTTGAGCTGTTCTTGTGGTTAACGTAGCAAAAGAAAACAGCAAGGCACGCTGTGGATTCTGTACATCTCAATGGGTCCAAGATTATGTCACTTACTGGAAAATATCTACAGTCTAATGGAAATTTTTGGGTAACCGGGTGACATTTTACAGCTTCTGTAATACGGAAAAAGATTAGGTGATTTCTTCTGTTTGGAAATTGATGATTTGGAGGGAATGAGAAAATGCAGGTGCAGCAGAGGAGAACTACAGCAATAGCCATCTATTTAAATGTATACACTAACTTCCCTAAGCTAGTATTTTTCAAATACCCTACTAGCAATATTTTCCACTATAGAGAAGCATTATATTGAAATGGGAAGATGCTGAGGAAGTAATTTTTTCCAGCATGTGCTGCATTCTTTTAATACAGGTTTTTTTATTTCCCAGAAATTGCTAACCAACATGACTAAACAGCTGAACAAAGAGCATCAGCCTATCCTTGCTAATAGCAAAAAGCTGTCATCAAGCGAAGGGCCTTTGCGATGTATGGAGGAAAACGATGCGTTAGAGTTCGGTTCTCTTATATTGCAGAAAGCTTTATTCAAAACAGAAAAAAAATCTGCACACGCACAAAGAAGGTTTTACATTAAAAAAGCACAAATATTATTCACATTTCTGAACAATGCACCCTCGTTCCTGCCTCTGCGCTGGGCACTGAGCAGAGCCAGGCGGTTCTTTGTTAGACACCTTTTTACTGAACATTTGCAAAACACAACAAATGTACTACCCAGAGCCTGCAAAGTCCCCTTCCCTGCAACCGACTGAGCTGACAACTCCGTCAGCCTCTGAATCTCGTTCCTATAATGAAATCAGTGAAACAAGACGGCAGTAGGATGAAGCAGAGTCAAGAAGTAAGGCTGTGCGAGATGGGAGAGTCCTACAGTCTGCAAGCTATTTCAAAGAGGAGGAGGAAAAAATGACTCGCATTAAGTGTAAGGTACAGTTTTCAACAGTGGCTAGTGATTGCTATCTAGGCCTTAAAGAGGAATATTACATGCTTATAATTCAACATATTAATAATTTCGTGTTCCCATATTGTGAAAGCTGTTTCGTTGCCACATGAAATAGTCCACGTCACTGTAGCTCCGGGGACACGTTTCATTATCTTATGAGTACACCTCATTCAGTGTAACGCATAAATAATTAAAAGTAGTAGTAGCTTAGCACCATGCAACTCTGCAATTCCACCATCATGGTTTTGAAAGAATCGTGGCCTAATACCTTATCGATGTGACAATCCCGCCTGGTTTTAGCATGCATTAATGTTTCCCACCCTTCAGCCATCCTGAACCTTATACCTACACATTTGTTCTTTTTATATCAGAGCCTTCTGAAAAAAGCAGTTCAGAAAGCAATGCTCTGCTACCTCATTTGGAGTGAGAGCCCCCTGAAGAGACATACATTGAGTATTACCAGTAACACATGACTCAATGCCCCCTAGATCTCTTCATAAAAGGAGAGGGGAGAAAACCAAAAGAGCCATTGCATGGATTTCAATAAACATTGCAAAAGAACAGTAGCCCAGAAGGACAATTACATGTGTTCCTGTGCCCTTGCCAGAGGATAGAGCTGGGTGCAGACACGAGCGAAGTTAGAACCTCCTGTGAACCAGGCAGCTTTGTTTCTATGTATTTCTCCTTAAAATTTCCAACCACAATTCCCTCCGGCTCAGTTGCTAACAGCAATACCAACTATAGGTGTCCATGGTTTTGAGTGGTCATTAGCATTTTAAGTAGCAGATCATTTAGCTGTGCAGACCCAGAGAAAAGTTTCTGGTATTTCAGCACTGCCAGGCCCCTGGTCCCAGCTGGCATCTAGAAATGCAGCAGAAAAGCCTTTTTTGTGCTTCTAAAGGCCTTGGGTCAGTTTTGGGGTGAAGGATGGGTGAACGTGTGCATCAATTCTTGTTTCATCTGAACGGAGTCACTTCTCCGCAGCAGGGGAGTTATTTCCCTGGCAGTGGGGATGGCCAGCTGTTCTCAGCAACACCCGGCTGATTTTGAGCTTGCGAGCAGGCTTAAAAGTGGCTGAAGAACCATGCATAAACATGACATTGCTTCACCAGGAGCTTTCCATCACAGTGGAAACGATGCTTCCCCCAGCACCGTTATGACAGCGCTATTTGTGCTGGTACAGATAAGCATCTGTCACTGTTTCCATTAGAATCTCCTATTTTCCTGGGTTCATAGCTCAGCCATAAAAAAAATGTAGCGTAGAGGCAGAAAGTTGACATACAAGGTCTCAGGCTGAGAGTGATCATTGTTGTCTTTTTTTCCCCCTTTTCTAATCTGAAGAAGAAAATAACATATTTCTGCAGAGACACACCTGACCACTACATTTCGATCCAGCCGTAGATTTATTTAGCAATAGCGATGGCTGCCTTTCACCATTCAATCGTAATTACCGCATTAGGGATGATCAAGAAGAACATGCGGTAAGTGGGTTTGGGCTCTGGTTCAGAGCCTATTGCGAGAGAACAGGCCCCAGTGAAGATTAAGGGCTTTGAAGTTTCTGATCTTTGCCAGATGATGAAATGAAAAATTGAAGATTATAGAAATAACAGTTGAAAAATATATAAACTGAATACTGCTAGGAACTAAAGGTGTAGAAGACCCCTTTGGGCTCAGGAGCAGAGGGAAAAGCAAGCCCGGCATTGCAGTTTCCCTAGTGAGACAAGCAGCACAAAATCCCACCCCATGAATTCAGCATCAGCGCTCGGTGTTTCGACTGCTTTAGGGGAAGCTTCCACCCCGTAATCTTGCTGTAGTTGCCTACTGGATAGCTGGATAGTGAAAACCCCATCCTGTGCGGTAGTAATACCGGGAGCCCACCATCCCGATCCTGGCACTGCAGGATCGGTGATGAAGTGAGAGCAGCGTTCTGCTGGGAGGAGGAGGAGGCGGCAGCAGTTTGGGGATGAGGACAGTGCAACACTGTTCCTTCCCCTTTTAAGCGCCTTCTCTTTCTGTTCACGCATTTTGTAAGAATAATTGCAGCTGGAAAAGTTTTTCTTTGTACATTAGGATGATGGTGTAAGACAGTCCTGAAGAGAATAAACCCTGAAAACACATTCTCCAAAACTTATATTCAAGCTTTAAAAGACCTAAAAAGAAAAAGTTAGATGATCATTTCTAGCCTGTTGAAACACAGATCCTGCTTCTGACCTCTTGAGCATATGCATTTTCAACAGGCCTTCTCTCTCACGGTGTACAAGAGGAATGTACATGGGCAATGTGTTTCTACATTAAATTGGAAATCTGCTATTTACTGAGGCCTGCGTGTTTGACTCTGAAATCTAACTCCATTCTGTCGCTACCAGAAGTAGTTATTTGCTTTCCGACTGCAAACAATTTTGCATTAGACTTAGCTTGGCCTGGTCACGTTTCTGAAAAACGATGAGATGTGCTCTGCACTTCTTGAAGGTTAGGCCTTGATAAATACAGGCATCTTAGCACCTGAAACCAATGCACCAAAAATACGGTTATTTTTGCGGTCTATCTCAAATTAAGAGCACAAATGGGCATGCTAAGTTTGGAAAAAATGGAAGAAGCAACACAAGAAAAGACAAATGTATAATAAACATTATATGTATAATATATATATAAATGTATATATATAAATATAAAATGTATAATAAACATTTGTAGTACACAATTACAACACCAGAAGCAGCTGAATAAGAGAGGGCTTTAAGCTTATAGCAGTTGGGATGTTAAGTGGGGAGAAAAAACCAAAGGGGAATGGAAAATTCTGCTTTTCTATTTCTCTCCATCTTTTAGCAGAGGTGCCACTTGCTCTTCAGGTCCTCCAGCATCCTTAGACATGTCCTTACCTAACAAATCTGTGAGGAAAGGGTGTCTGTCCCCAGTGCTCAACCTGTCCAGAGATTTATCCGTTTGTCCCAGTGGATGGCTCCCATTGAGCTTTTTGCATCCTCCGTAAGCTATTTTGAGTAAAATCCTTGAGCTTTCATGGGGTAGCAGAAATTACTCATTACAGTAGCCCACGTGACTGGGCTGGTTCAGACCCTGTTGATGTAAAAAGAACTATTAATGGCTCCTTTTGTGTCTTGGCAGTTATATTTTCACGTTTTGTACAATTCTTTCCTTCTGTTTTGAAACAGGTATTTTGTGATGCTAATCAAGTCGTACAAGCCACAGACGTGCTGGACTGGGAAGACAAGGATGCTGCAGAGACGCTGGTCGACAATGTTGTCCATTCCAGGATCATCAATCCTTTACGCCTGTTTGTTAAGCCATCTCCAGTACTGAAACACGGCCAGGTGTCCTACTCGGACAGCATAGAAAACTTTTGGGATTGGTTGTCCAACATCACGGAGGTTCAGGAATCTCTCGCACGAACTAAACGCAGACCTATAGTAAAAACTGGGAAATTCAAGAAAATGTTTGGATGGGGCGACTTCCACTCTAACATCAAAACTGTTAAGCTGAACCTCCTGATCACAGGGAAAATCGTCGATCACGGCAATGGGACCTTCAGTGTTTATTTCCGACATAACTCCACAGGTCTAGGAAATGTTTCTGTAAGCCTGGTGCCACCTTCCAAGGTGGTTGAGTTTGAATCGTCTCCACAGTCAACACTGGAGACCAAGGAATCCAAGTCCTTCAACTGCCGAATTGAGTACGAAAAAACAGACCGCGCGAAAAAAACTGCCTTGTGCAATTTCGACCCTTCAAAGATCTGCTATCAAGAGCAGACTCAAAGCCATGTCTCCTGGTTGTGTTCCAAACCATTTAAAGTCATCTGCATTTACATCGCTTTTTACAGCGTAGATTACAAACTGGTGCAAAAGGTCTGTCCCGATTATAATTACCATAGTGAGACTCCCTACTTGTCCTCTGGCTGATACCATCGTGGGTAACTGTAGAGATGCAGCATCAGTCGTCAAAATAAGCATTTCCATTAACCTTTTGGAGAAGAATATGTTTTCCTATCAGGTTAAGAAGTCTTTAAAAACTGTAGCTGTGTTTGTGCTGTATCGTAAATAATCAAACTATTTATGTAACAAACATTTTCATTTGAGACCACTGCATTTTAGCTCTCGTCATTAATAAGGGAACTACCAGGCAGACACATGACAAAAATCAAACAAAATTATGTCGGTAATGAACATCGAGCTTGAAAAACAGGTTTTTTTAAACCAGACTCGATGGCAGAGAGGTGGTCTTGTACTTGAATTGGACAGCACTTAGCAGGATCCTATTTCTCATTGGGAACTTTAGAAGATGACAATATAAAGAACAAAAGATGAAGCAGACTCCCAGCTGTTTATATACAAAATCCAAATAAACAGCTCTCCCATCAATTTCATAAAGAATGTTACACTCGCGGGGCTCAAGGAATCAAGTCCAAATACTGAGAGAAAGTGCTATTTCTAGGACAAAAAAAAAAAGGAATCTGCATTTCTATGAGTTGTAGCAGTTGTACGTATTCATTGAAGTGAAGAGTGAGTGGTTCTTCCTTCAGACTTCTTACCCATAGATATGCAATGATGTAATTAGACATGGATGAGCTTTAGTGTAACAATCTAGACCCCCCAGGTGTGCAGGTTTGGTGTACGTTTCTTCCTTCCATGGTCACCATTGGTTTTGATCCTTCTCAAATGTTTTCACACACACCAGTACTAGTTTTACAGTGATAGAGAATATCCATACCTTGGAAAAAGATAATCTCTGTTTAAGTCTGAGAACAACAGGGGCAGGCTTCCACTTAAGGGAAGCAATTATCTTGCCATCTAGCCCTCTTAGCACTGCACCTTAGCAAGGAAAACACATCACAGCATTAGGACGATACCTGAACAACACAAGCTTTCTGCTTAATGGCACCCGGTTGTCTTCCTTAGCATTGCATTGCATACCTTACGTCAAAATATTAAGCAATGACAAATAAAGAGGACAACAACAACAAAAAAAAAATCTATGCATCTTCGCCTCATAAAGCAGATTTCAAGCAATTGCTATCGATACAAAAATACTCAGCCCGACTTTCCCCTAGTACAGAATAGCATCACCCCACCGTAGTTAGTGACGAGAACGGAGGGTCCGGCTGTGGTTTGGCTTCAACAGGACAGAAGCTGCTCCCACTGCAGTCAACAGCAGCTAGCTCCAGCGCTGCAGCTTCAACCGTCAGTCCCCTGCGCTTTCGTTGGGTATTGATTTTGCTGCTGCTGCCAATTTGCTATCGTAGTCCTTTGTGATGGTTCGATGTCACAGGTCCCCTGGAAGAAGCTGGCTGAGGAAGTGCTTTTTATTGCCTACAGTCAAACTTACATGCAGGGTCCAAGAAGGTACATGCAGCTTAAATAAAGTACTATTAAAATACTCTGTTCAAGTGGCGTGCACCCAGACAAATGGCTATGACAGCTCAGAAAGACTCGCTCATGAGATTAATTCTGATTCCCTTGGTGAAGTCTCATACAAAAAAATTACTGTTAAAAATATATTACAAGTAACTGGCTAATTTGCTTTTCTCTTTAGGTGACAAATTTAAATGTGTGGTTTAGTTTGATCAATAATCTAACGTTTTCCTTCATCTTATTTCATACAGAGCCTCTCTTGGTCTAAATGATGTTTTTTAGTTTGTCTATTACTGTTGATTCCTACAAGATGGTCTACTTTGTATTCTGTATAGCGTGTCCTCGTTCTGGCTGTATATAAGCTCGGATTTATTGCTATGAGTTCCGTGGTTGGTGCTTTTGTAACTTAGCTGTAAGCCATGATTTTATTGCCATGTATTTTTACTCAGCACTGTAGGCAATTAAAAGAAAACCCTACATGCTATTTATTGTAGAGTATGTGGAAATCATGTATGTATATACACTTAAATATGTGTACATATACAGAATATATGTGTACATGTATTTGTATGTAAATAAAGAGAGTTTGCTAAATCTGGCAAGCACTTGCTTGTGGCATATTTGATTTTTTTTTTTTTTTAATGTTGTATATAGAAAGACACAAAGTAAAACTAAGACACTGCAACACATCACTGAACTATTTTCCCCAGCTGGAATTTGTTTTTCTAGGAGATATTTAAGTATGCGCTGCAGTGAACTGTGCTACAAGCCTAGGCAGACTAAGTTCAATAGCATTTCATGATATTCAAGAAATGAAGTGCATGTTTTGATGAAGACAGTCGTGAACTGTTTAATAATTGCGCAAGGTACATCAAAGTAAAGGGGTTAGTCTAAATTAGGAAACACGCATCAGCTCCTCCCCAGCAGGAACGCGCCGGGAGGTGCGGCAACCCGCTGCTGATTCAGCCCTTGCTCAGTTTCTCATGGAAAGGGGAGCTGGATTCTCCCCCTGCACAGACGTCCTCTCGCTGCCACACATCCCAGGCTGAGGTTTCCAGACCTCAGGAAGACAAACCAGGGCCTTGAGCAAACAAACATCGCTCTGGAAACACCCGGAACGCCTGGGCCACGTGGGGATTCACACGGAAAGGCTATTGTGAATCAAGAGACAAAGTATTTTAACAGGTTTAACACCCGAGCTTCTTGAGCACTGAGAAGACATGCACCCAAAACCCAGCTTCTGACTCAAAACAACTCTCGAGCTCTCCAAGCAAGGCCCAGGCTGGCGCCACGCCATCGGAGCAGCGCTGGGTAGAGGGAGCAGCAGGGAAACGGAGCCCGTGACAGCAGGAGGAGAGGGTTAAGCCAGACCCTGTCAGCCTCGCCACCCGGGGACCCAGCTGCAACCGCCTGCGTTTTTTTAATTGTATATAGAAAGACACAAAGTAAAACTAAGACACTGCAACACATCACTGAACTATTTTCCCCAGCTGGAATTTGTTTTTCTAGGAGATATTTAAGTATGCGCTGCAGTGAACTGTGCTACAAGCCTAGGCAGACTAAGTTCAATAGCATTTCATGATATTCAAGAAATGAAGTGCATGTTTTGATGAAGACAGTCGTGAACTGTTTAATAATTGCGCAAGGTACATCAGAAGTAAAGGGGTTAGTCTAAATTAGGAAACACGCATCAGCTCCTCCCCAGCAGGAACGCGCCGGGAGGTGCGGCAACCCGCTGCTGATTCAGCCCTTGCTCAGTTTCTCATGGAAAGGGGAGCTGGATTCTCCCCCTGCACAGACGTCCTCTCGCTGCCACACATCCCAGGCTGAGGTTTCCAGACCTCAGGAAGACAAACCAGGGCCTTGAGCAAACAAACATCGCTCTGGAAACACCCGGAACGCCTGGGCCACGTGGGGATTCACACGGAAAGGCTATTGTGAATCAAGAGACAAAGTATTTTAACAGGTTTAACACCCGAGCTTCTTGAGCACTGAGAAGACATGCACCCAAAACCCAGCTTCTGACTCAAAACAACTCTCGAGCTCTCCAAGCAAGGCCCAGGCTGGCGCCACGCCATCGGAGCAGCGCTGGGTAGAGGGAGCAGCAGGGAAACGGAGCCCGTGACAGCAGGAGGAGAGGGTTAAGCCAGACCCTGTCAGCCTCACCACCCGGGGACCCAGCTGCAACCGCCTGCGGCCTGTTCTCCAGCAGAGCACTGGGAAGAGCTGTTGTGTCTCACCTGTAAGTCCCCCCAAGGAGCTTTCCCGCCCCCAAACCTCCTAATGACAGAGGAGCGACCGTCATCAAACCCGCTCAGCTCCCTCCGCACCCAGAGAACACAAAACAGTTCAGCGAAAGCCAAAGTTCCCTCAAAGGCAAAGGCAACGGCACGGAGGGCCCGCGCAACCAGGAGAGGCTGCCTTTGGGGACGCAGCGTTTGTTTTAACACAGCCCGAACGTTTTCCCCGGGAGAAGCGAACCCTCAGCAGCAGCGTCTGACCAGCGCTCTGATGCTTTGATGCTGGGGCGACGGGAGAAGCTTGCGCCGCCGTCCTCCCACCAAGCCCTGGCACAAGGCGGCAGCTGGAGCAGGAGGAGAGGGAGGGAGCCTTGGTACCAAAACCCATCATGCCGGAGGACTCCCCACCACGCATTTTCCAATCACAATACTTTAAAAATCGACTTAAAAGCATTACGGTTTTTTCAGATGAATTGTGAGAAAGTCACTGCAAAAAAGCACTTACAATCTTACCGCAGTCAAAATGAGATTAAGAAGGAATTATTTACACCTAGCAAGGTAAGCAAAATACAATCCAATGAACCAAAGGAAGTGACAGACTTCATTAGGTCAAGTTTCACACTGCCCCTGTAAACAGAACTAAATTGGATTTAATTTCACACGGAACAAGCCATATTTAAAAACAAACAAACAAACATTTTCCTGTATAACAGGTGACTATTTTAGACAAGTTTCAAATTTCAGTGATTGTTCCTCTCCATGACTCTTATTCAAAGGATTTTAAAATAAAAATTTGGAAGACTAAATACCATTTTTAGAAAGTGTCCCACGTGGGCAATAATGACTTATGACCACGGCAACGTAACCTAAAAAGTTTTTAATATACGTACTTTAATTTCATCCAAATCTCAACAGTATGGTTTTGCATGCATTTATATCAACGCAAATAGGTATTTAAACTCCTTACTAAATACACTTCCTATTGTTCTCCCCATCCCGTGGATATACATATAAAAATCCCAGTAGAAAGCTAATTCATGATACACACATAAGCATCAGCTTTTTGTCTTTAGACGGCCCACCGTACAGCGCTGCGGGAGCCAGGCGCTTTCAGTATTTTCTTTTTTAATTATTTCAGCTTGAACAGGGAAGTAACTTAGTTTGGTTTTCCCTTTCCCCTCAAGAATTTCACCCTTTGGATCCTCAGCCTTTCCATCTCCTTGTAACCCTAGCCGGTGGTCGGATCCTGCCCCGAGCTCCTCGGCCTCTCAGTCATCGCAGCGCCGGCGATACTGCGCTGGGACCCGGGGCTCTCTGCCCGCCTCGCCGCCTGCACGCCGATTCCCAGGCTCTTACATCGAGCGGCCACGCTGTGCTACAGCGGCGAGCAAGACAGGAAAAAAAAGCAAAAAGCCAGGCGTTGTTTGCCGCGAGCTCCCTGGGGCTGCTACGTTTTCTTTTCAGGGAGAATTTACTAGGCGGTGCTGAAAGAGCAAACCCCTGAATAATCCTGATGCAACTGGAAAAAACTCTCATAGCAACTAGGCGAAGGTGTTCAGTACACATCAGCATCCTCTGCTGCTTTTTGGGTTTTTTCCCTTTAATTGTAATTCAAGGACATCAGAATTTGCTATTTGTTTTATGCTCTGTTGACCAGCATAATCTGGATAATGTTTTATTTATAGTATAATAATGATTCGTCATTACCACTGTCCCTATACAAATATGCACAGTTGAAAAGACAATAACAAGTCGCATGTACTAAGTAGCTCAACGAAATACACATCAATCAAGTAGATTTTTAGCTGTAGGGTGTCTCGTTTGAAAAACTAGAGACTTTGCCATTCCCACCTCTGACTCTTGTGAACACGCACCTACCAGAAGCAGCTGCCACCTTTGTTTTAAAACTAGCAAATAAAATGACATTTCTCACGTATCGGCAACTAGCACCATACTGTACTTAGAGGATATTGCCTGTACTGTATTAGGCAAAAACCTAGGAGTTAGCGTAACCCCCTCAACAGCTTTACAAAAACAAAAATCACGAATTTATATCACGGTCCCTGGTGGATTCAGGTCTCTGGAGTCCGTGAACAGAAGCTAAACCACGCGTCAGCAGACAGCTCCCTATTGCCTACGTAGCCCAGCTTGCTGCACGTGCAAGGAACGCACCGGCTCCACAAAAGAGGGATCCGAGGGACTGGTTTTACAGAAGAAGAGTTGAATTGTCATGAAACATCCCACTTTTCGTCAAACCACACCTCACTTGGAGGGTTGCTGAGCACAGGTCCGCAAAATCTGTTCGGATCTGCAGCGAGAAGTGATGGAAACTGAACGGAGTCTGCTGGACACCGCCGGCAGCACGGCACAGCGGCATCTTCCTGCCGAGACTGCTGCGACCGACCGTGTCACGCAGCGCTCCAGCCCAAAATACCTGGGAGTTTTCAGTCAGGAGCAAGCATCCAGCTGTTGGTACTCTCAAGCAAGAACCCCAGTCATCTAGACTAAATTTTGAAGGGGGAAAAAAAAAAAATCACAAAAAACGCTTTTCCAAAGATGTAATTCAGTCTCCAAGGGGGTGGGGAATTACAAAAAATGCTTTTCCAAAGATGTAATTCAGTCTCCAACTCAGCATAAACCCAGCATCAGCTGCAGCCCAATTAAAAAGCAATTACGTTCCTAAGAAAACAGTTTACTCAGGGATAGGAAAAAAGAAAAATCTACCTACATGAACATTGGTGGGACTCTAAAACAAGACTCCAAAAGAAATATCAGCACCTTCCTATTCAACAGTAATGAAACAGCCAAGCAGGTCAAACAGACAGTATTTCTTGCACTGCTCTCTGCTTTTGTCCTAAAGTCATAGAATCATTGAGGTTGGAAAAGACCTCTAAGATCATCGAGTCCAACCGTCGACCCAACACCACCATGCCCACTAAACCATGTCCCTAAGTGCCTCATCTACACGTCTTTTAAATACCTCCAGGGATGGGGACTCCACCACTTCCCTGGGCAGCCTGGTCCAATGTTTAACCACTCTTTCAGTAAAGACATTTTTCCTCA